TTTCTTCACTTGCCTGCTGGCCTCTTGGCATGAGGCGCCCTCAGAGACAGGGCAGCAGCCACAGCATCAAGTTTAATCAGATTCTTGCAGTGTCCCCTGGTGCAAACACTTTCTCCCTGGGCTCCAGGCCCTCTAGACCCACAGACCTAAAAGCTGTGGATGAGAAGCACCAATTTTCCGAGTGGTCGCTGGAAATGAAAGCGAATGACAGGGGACATTCCTATTTCTATCCCTGGTTCCTAGGCTCATGTGTTCTCTCTTTTTTGGACCCGGCACCCTAGGATGGCCACTGACTTCAAGTGTATACGGCATCTTGAAGGATACAGTTCCATCCTCAGGGGAGGTCATCTCCAAGACGGCGCCTCAACTGCAATTTGGGGGCCGTTTTACTGCTCTGTCCGACTGGCAGCTGCAGGCAACGTGTATGTGGTAGGACCAGTGGGTCCCACAGTTGTGTGGTCGCTACTTTTTCCTTCCCTATAAAGTAAATTCTTGGTCCAAGGGGATGTTGGTCAGGGTCCCACACTAGTCTTGGCACCAAGTGGCTGTTTGGTCTCCTTGAAGTCTGGTGCCATATTGCTGGCTCAGTGTCGGTCTTTGTTGCTATGGGGCTGGGCATTCCGTGGTGACAGTGGCTCTACTAGCTTGGCGAGAGGGAACTCATGCCGTGGGGCCTGTGCTTAGCACCCACCTCTATCCCATTCGTGAGCCCATTGTGCAAGCACTGGAGTGGGCTCACCATTTCCCCTCACCGCTGCCTGTTTATCAAGGCTGCTCATGGGTGTGACTGCAGTGTGCCCTCTGTTCATGTTGGCTTAAAGCAGTTATTGGAGCTCTACCTGCAAACAACTCAGGGCTTTTTTCTGCTTTGTTGGGTGGTGTATTAGTCAGGGTTCTCCCGAGGAAAAAAACCAATAGATAGAAGATAGATAGATAGCCAGATGATAGATAGGTAAATAGATGACACGTAGATAGATGACAGATAGATAGATAGATCACCCAGAAAAATGTCGAACTAAATATCTAGGTACCCAGTAGCCCAGTCAAGTTAATACATAAAATTAACCAGTGGAGTTGGTCGTAGAGACCTTCTCATGAGCCCATAGGTGTGAGCTGAGAGGATCCATGCCCGATTCTATATGTATCACTTTTGTTTTGTGATAGGTGTGCTGGGCCTGCCTGACCTAATGATTTGGTGTATCTGATAGAACCTAGATCATGATGAGAAGTTCTGGCTACCAGGTCACTTTATGTCCCACGTTCAGACACACTCTCTCTCCCAGGGCCTAAAAGCATGTCAAGAGCTGTTTTTCTATTGTTGCAGAGGAATGGCCTTGCTCCAGAACCCCAGGAGTCTGCACTTTTAGTCTCTTATTAGGTCCTGCTAAGGGCACCATAGGGTATATTTCATTCCTCCAACATGGGTTAGAGGAGATTCATAGTGCGATAATGTGCTTCTCTTTTGGAGGTTATGGCCAACATGCCCTGACTACTGGAGCCCTAAAAACATAATAGATACAGCAGATTTCTGAACGGTCACAGATGTGGATAGTGCTCAGGGCCACCAAACTCTCCAACTTCTTTCTAAACTGATGATTATTAGATCTGAGGCTGTCACTGGCGTCATTGCCATCAGTGGATGTCATTGTTATCAGTCATCGATATTAGCAGGCATCCACTTCGAGCCTTTGGAGCACACGCGTCTTACTAGGCATTCAGAATACCTGCTACTCCTTGTTCATTAGGTCTGACTATTACGTTGTCATCAATGTAATGGATCAATGTGATGTTCTGCAGAATGTCCCGATAGGTCTTGGGACTGCAGTGGGGCCAGGCCATAAATGTAGACTGTTTTTGCTCCCATGTCAATGCAATCTTACTGATTCATCTTTCTGATGGATTTCAAAGGATACAACTCGGAGCCAGCCAAAGGGTGAGATGCGTAGGGTCCGGTTGGGGAGGGTTCCAAGTGCCAAGCTCTGTCGCCTTCTCCCTGTGGAGTGAGGACGCAGCCCCTCCTGGCACACCAACATATTCGCCACCCAGAACTCCCACCCCATCCCCAAAGTCCAGATTGTTTACTGGGTTACATCGCGTAGGCACAATTTTTTCATTCTTGGCCATGCTATGGAAGCCAACCGGCAGCTCTCCTACCCTCCGTGGAGGTCAGGCTGACTCAGAGCCCCAGCCTCCTCGTCACTTGGTTAGTCTCTCTGGTGATCAGCCCCCTCTGGATCTTGTTAGTATGAACTCAGGCATGATGAAAGAGGTTCATGCATAATAGAGACCCTGCTATCTTGAGAAAATTCCAAAAGTTTTAGACATTACCTCCCAGGAACCAGGGAGGAAGACCAATGGCCAAGGAGTTAAATTCTGTGTGATAGGAGTTTGTCCCTTATTGAAAACTCTCTCTTATTTAGGTTTATGTTTCTTACCCTTAGCATTTCCAGAATCCTGGCTCTCAGGAATACGTTCCTGTTCCTTGTTGTGCACGAGAGCCAGGTTCTGTAATTCCTTTGTGCCATCGTCCCTCTCCTCCTTTTAGGCAACCCGACAAGTTCTTCCGGTTATGCTGAGATTTTGGCCCTAACTGTTGGTGTGGTGACCAAGAGGGCTGGTGGTCACAGCTCGGGATGGGTCCAGCATTGTCTCGTAAGGCCATCTTGTCTGGCTTCGTTTGAGACACTGGCACAGTCTATCAAGAAGCAGAGTCTACAGCCATGCCAGCCTGAACATGCCCGCTCTCTTCTGATCTCGGAAGCTAAGCAGGGTCGGGCCTGGTTAGTACTTGGATGGGAGACCACCTAGGAAGACCAGGTGCTATAAGCTTAAAAAAAAAAAAAAAAGCAAGCAGGGCCTGTGCGTTTCCTATTGTTGCTGTAACAAATCACCACAAATTTAATGATTAAAATAACACAAATTTATTGTTCTAAGAGTCAGTAAACAAGTCTTAGCTATAATAAAGGTGGGGTCAGGGCTGATTCCTTTTGGAGGCTCTCAGAGCAAATTCATCTCCTTGCTTTTCCAGCTTCTAAAGACCACCTGCTTTCATTGGCTCATGGTCCCTCTTTCTGTCCTCAAAGCACAAAAACCAACCTATGCCTTCATCATATCCGCTTCTCTGACACTGCCCCTCCTGTGCTTAGTGTCTTCAGCTGATTGGATGGGGACTAACCATAGTCCCCATCCATAGTCCCCATATCCATGGAGGATAATCTGCTTTACCAAGACGATTGATTTAATTATTCGTCACATTTTAAAATGCCTTCACAGCAACGTAGACTAGAAGTTGACCAATGAGTTGAATGCCACAGCCTAGCCAAGTTGATACACAACTTTAACTATTACGGACACCCTCTGCAGGCTCAGAGCATTTAGAGAATCGGGGTCAAGTTCTCAAGTGCATCTATGCAGGCGTAGGACCCCGCCTCTAGTCCGAGGGTCCCCCTTCTCTGACTTAGGCACAGAGCGTTCGGTGAGGTTGAAGCTCCACCGAACTATGTGTATGCTTTTTACACGTCAGTTCACATGTGGATCCCTTCAACTCTCACACTTTGCTTTCGACTGCTAAGTGCCAGGTCTGAGCCTGACCTGGACTCTTGTCAATGCTCACTGGCACTTTCCATCAGCCATCAAATTCCACACTCCTTATCTTGACCTTTTTCTCGACTCAGAGACGGTGTAGCAGCTGTGTACCTCCTGGACCCATCCTAGCACACCGCAGATGAAATGTCTGCAACTCTACAGCTGACATCCACCTGGGACACTCGGCACCACACCTCTGGGCCACATGAAGTGCTCACTGCTGTCCTGCGGTGAGTGGTCCAACCCAGACACGACACTTGGGGCCGGCTTCTGAGGACCACTGCTGGTGTGGACGACGGTCTCAGGTCACCTTCCCTAGAAGAAGAGCAGGAGACAGGATTTAGGAGGTTCATGGAGGGGATATTGGAGGGAATTGGCAGCACCAGGAGGGGCTGGGTCTGACTGGGGGCCTGCTACAGCCTGACCACGGGGGGCTCATATGCCAGGCAGTCCCTGGCTGCTGGCTGCTCTCAGGAAAGGGTATAGGACAATGGTCTGGAGAAGGGAGTGTGGCTCAGCTGAGGGCAAACCTATGCTGTGGACTGCACCTGTGAGGGTGAATGAGCGATTCAGGGTACAGGGGCCGAGTGGCGATCCGCAGGCATTCGCTGTATTGTATAGCGGTTTTAAAGGAAAACAATATCAGCTACTTTGGAAATCAGAAGTGGCAGTGAGGGGTGACAGGCAAGATGGGGTTCTGGACAGAGGGGAGATGGAGATTGTGAAAGCGCCCAAGCGTAGTCAAAGAAGTCACTAAGAAAAGGGAAGAACCTGACACACACCCCAGAGGGAAGTGGCTTTGAGAGGGATTCAGAGCTTAACGGGAAGAGTCCTTTGGGCTGTGTGTGTTATGTGTGTATGTATAATTGTGTGTGTGTGTGTGTGTATGTCTGTGAATATGTGTGTCTATGTGTGCGTGTGTGTGATTACGGGAATGAATGTATAACTGAGTGTGTCTCTGTGTCTGCGTGTGTCGAGTTAGATTAAGGGACACACAGACACAAATCTCCAGGGGCCCAGGAGCTTGCAGGCTGACAAGGGACAGGGCACAGGGAATAAATCGAAGAGGGAGATTCGTTCCAGATGGTGCTGGAGATGCAGGGAGTGAGCCTGACCGGAGGACCATGTCGGGGCCGCGTGGAGACAGCAGGCCTGAGCCGGGGGTGTTGGCACATTCAAAAAAGGAAGAGAGTTGCTCGAGGGGGTGTTGAGCAGAAGTGGGTTTCTGAGCAGAGGGGAAGGGCGGACAGTGAACCGCAGGCTTGGGGTGGGGACGAGATACGTACAAAGGCGTTTCAAAATCCAGGGCAGGGCTTTTGGTGTTCAGCTGCCGCCATGGTGAGATGTGCAGTCGCCGGGAAAGCCGGGGTGTGGGTCGGGTGCTTGCGGGGTCTTCCGTTGCGCTGCGGGAAAGCTCACGTCGGTCGACTTCTGAGCTTGAAGATGACCGTCAGCCACGCTTTCGCGTTGGCGAGAGGCCACGATTTCTGAGTGAGTGAAACGAACTGCGGCGCCTTTGGAGTCTGGGTGCGGCGAGGGGCAGGGACCGCGGGCTGAGAGATCTTGGAGGGTTCTGAAGGCAGAAGAGTCTAGAAAATGGAGAGGGGTGAGGGGGAAAAGATCAAGGACCAGGGAGGCTTGGAGTGTGGGGAGCCCAGAAGAATCTGAAAAATGGAGCATTGGGAGAGGGAGGGCGTTGCGGGCCAGAGTGGTCTTGGCCGGTGCAGAGCCCAGGAGAACCTGAAAAGGGGTTGGGCGTGGGGGGAGAGGATAAAGAGAGGGACTGGGGGTGAATCGTGAGGTGGGGAGTTACTCTTCAGAGGTCGGGGTTGCTTGTTCACACTTTCGATGCATCCCGCGCTGTTGAAACTGTGTCTAAGGGCAGCTCGGAGGCATGTTTCAGACCACACCCTTGCCCATCCAGGGTGTCCAAGATCTGTCTTTAACCTTCTGGGGCTACCTCCACGGCATAGAGGTCATGGTCACAGTGTCCCGAAGTAATCTGTCCCTTGAAGACTTCCTGCCCCAGTCACCCGCTCGGGGCCCTGGTCACTCACCCAACTTTCTCGGCGCGGCCATTTTACATCTGCGCCTTCGTGTCTTCCTCCCCCTCACATCGGACAGTGCCTCCTTCCCCTTCCCCTTCCCCTTCTCTCTCCTCCTCTTCCTCTCCCCTCTCCTCCTCTTCCCCCTCCTCCCTCCACCGCCATGTTCTTATGGCGCCGGCCACGCTCTTATGGCGCCGGCCCTCCTCATACAGAAGCAGGAGGTTTCCAAATCCTCCCCTGGACTCAATTCCAGAATTTTACCTTTGAAAGCTCTCCCACCCTCTACACCGCATCCAGGCCCACACCCCTGGTACCTCCTGCCCCTATGGAGATGTCCACCTTGCTCCTCAGGGGTTCGCTCCAGGTCGAGACCACCTCTCTGCTCAGAGCCCCACCCACCAGAGACTCACCCCAAAATGAGAAGAAAGTAACCGCAGAATCATGCCTGAGACCACATTATTGTTGAGCAGTTCTCTGTTTCAAGTTCTTCTTTGTCAGGGAGGTGGAGTTAGGACCATGATGAAAGCAAAGTTGAGAATCAAAATTTTGCCCGAGCAGTTGATGAAATGACAATTGAGGAATCAGTCCAGGAAGTTTTGCCAGGAATCTGTGTGTCCTCCCATCGATCGTGATTATAAAGGATGGAATTTCTGTTTAGTATCGAAGCCACAGTCTCCTCTGTTAAGTTTTTACGATGTATCATCTCATAAAAATAATATGACAGGTAATCTTTTAAGAATTCATGAGGAAAAGTAAATTAAAAAAAAAACAGCAACAGAAGAATTCACGAAGAATGTGTAGGTGCAAACTGGATTCGTAAGCAAAAAAATTAAAGCACGATCACTTGCGAAAGAAATAGGCGGTTATTTTTTTTAAACATCTCACGTGCTATGCGTTGTATATAGCTAAAGCTGCCATTCTGATGACATACATTAGCATCTTCTTGATGACACGTTTTAACAGTGGCTCCAAGAGCATGAGGGCTTGCTCCATTCCGTTTGTCACTAATAGCTCTCTTCCAAAATTCCATATGTACTCACTGAGTCGATTAGCCACAATTTCCACTAGAAAATCCATGACCTTGTCCTTGCTAAATGAAGTAAGCAGATCCAAAGAAATAACGTAACGTGTGTTCCCTGTGGTTTTCGCCACGGTCTGACTTCATTGTAGCATGTTCTGCTTTTTAAGGTAGAAGTACTGTAATATGCTCCGCCCCTTACAGCGAGGTGTGGCAGTTCCTTCTGGGCAACGTTTTCGCGCCATGAAGACTAATAGTGCAAATGCCGGAGGGACTGAGGGGCCATGTGACCCCGATCCAGGGCCGGGGGAGCATGGCCCACTTCAGCTGCAAGAGCTACATTTCTTATATGTAAAGAGTGAACATTTGAAGTGGTTTTAATACTGTAGTAGGCTAAATAAGAGTCTCCATCTGCAGAGCTCCCTCTACCATGTGGGACTTTCTGGGGCCGAGAGAAGCACCTCTCCCCACATTCCAGGCTGGACCCACATCTGTCATGAGAAGTCAAGAGCAAGGAGAGAGAGGGTCTGTGGAAACGTAGTGAGAGGGTTCAGGGACAGACTCATAATTTGCTTGTGACACTAGCAAATGAGAAGTAACTTCTTCCAGACTCTTTTCTGAAAATCGGACAGACCTCCACCCCAGAGCTGGTGCCGATGGTCCAGGGAGCCACTTACTAGAGACTGTGATAATCTGGACTGTGGTCCTGTTGAGGCCAGTGACAGAGTTATGGACGAGGCAGGTATAGGATCCACTGTCATTCACAGTGATGTGGGGGATAAAGAGCTCCTGCATGGGCTCCTGGGGCCTCCCATTGATGAGCCAAGAATACTGTGCAGGCGGGTTAGAGGCTGTGTGGCAGGAGAGGCTGAGGTTTGCCCCGGAACTGTAATGGGGGTTTGAGGGGGAAATGGTGGGGGTCTCCGGGCCATCTGAAAGAAAACAAAGCCAACGTGATGTAATCAGAGGGAAGGGGAAGCTCCTTTTCTGTTCAAGGGCCACACTGCCCCTCTGAGCTGGGTCACAGTCTATTTTTAAAAAGTCTGGGCCATAAAACCCTGTGTTAACTGAGTCCGAGAAATTAACTTGTTTCACATGACAGGTGATTGACCCTGTATCTCTCAAGACAGGAACAACCTGTCTCCAACTAGTATTGTCTCAGGGCTGGGCCCACCTGGATTTGCCTGGGACAGGAAGTCATGGCCAGCCTGGGTGCCTGGGGTGAGGGTCTGTGTACTTGGACTTCAGAGGGATGGATGCAGTCTGGCCTCTGTCAGTGTGGATTTGGGCGGGCAGCCTGGGCCAGGTAGGAACAGAAGTTACTCACAGAGGACGTTCAGGTAGAATGGGTCACTGCGGCCGGCACTCCCGGGGTTCCAGGTGACACACTCATAGGGTCCTGTGTCATTCCTTGTGACACGGAGTAAAGTGAGAGTCCTGTTGTCCTTGGACAGCTCCAGCTGGGCACTGTCTGCTATGCTCTGACGGTTGACTAACCACAGGTAGGTGGCGTTCTGAGTCTCAGGTTCACACGTTAACACTACAGGGTCCTTGTTCTCCACGGGGTCGGAGTTGTTGCTTCTGACATTGGGTGTGGGTATTGATAGTAAACTCTCTTTGCTTTTATTATTGTTTAAAAATACCTTTGTTTCAACAGAGTTTTTGAATGATAATCAAAATAACTTATTTTTCTCTAATTATTTGGACAATAATACTCTATTATCTTCTGGTTTTCAGTGTTATTATTAAGAAGTCATTGTAAGGCTAAATTTTATTTCTTTTTAGTTAATATGTAATTTCTATGTGAAAAATCTCAAATATATTTTCCAGTTTTGTAAAATTCTCTTTAGTTGGATTTATAATATATGGATGCTAATATTACTATTGCAGACCTTCACCTCTTCTGGATGCCTGGCCTGGGACTGGGGGTTTGAGCAGAAATGATACCCGGGCGACCAGGAGCAAGCCTGGAGGTCAGCTCAGGACTCAGATGGCAATGTCTCTCGTGGGACAGGTTGTTCAGGTGACTGACATGAAACAGTGACCGCAGAAAGGGTAGAACAGAGTCAGTGCTGGAAATGATGGGAAGAGAGTCGGGGGACGGCTGGGGCTGGCGGCTTTGGAGCAGAACCACCCTCTCTGCCCTTGGTCCTTAATGTCCCCCGTCCCACTGCAGACGGCGGTGAGGACCATGGTGATCTTTCCTGAAACGCGTTTTTGTGTTTTCTGATGTGGAGGTGGTGATCACTGTGAAGGGGATGTGGTTGGTATCTGACCTTTGTGAATCATTAGTAATGACAAAACAGATTTGAGTAGAAGTTAAACTGTGCAAGAACATGTGAAAATGTTATTAATGCCGCAAAGAGCTAAGACCAGTTTCTGGAGGACTTTCTCTCTAGAGAGCTCTGAAGGTCGCAGACTAGGTTTTGCAGTCCATCCAGGGTCACACTGTGATCAAGGGAAGATGCCACCTTGGGTTTGAAAGCAGTGACTCCCCGGGGAGAGAGAGAGTGTGAGCCTGTTAAGAGGACAGGCGTGATCGGAGGGGAAGTCTAGGTGTGTCTGCTGTATAAAGGGAGGCACGATACCGAGTGAGAAATGATATGTGTATGTTAGTAGATTTAGGAAGCGGGTCCCTGTCGCCAGGGACTGAGACCCACGTTCCATCCCTCTAACCACCTGCCCCTAAGCACCCCCAGCAGCCAGTCTCATGGTGACTGTGGGGCTGCTCAAACATGGGAGGAGTTTCTGTCCTCGCTGGTCCCGCTCTGGGGCAGCCGTGGGGCCTCTGAGTCACCTGTAACCCCCACCGCTCACTGCCATGGACAGTTCTGGCTCTCTGCTCCTCCCATGTCCCTCACCTGCCTCCTCCTTCACTCCAGCCACACTGCCCTGCTCTGCTCTGTTTCCTCCTCCCGGAAGCCTCCCTGGATTCTCCCACTAACCCCTGGGGACAGGCCCACCTTCCCGGGCAAGAGGACCCCAGGATGAGGATGTGAGTCACGAGTCAGGAGTGAAGTGAGCCTGAGAGCTTTTGAGGACTGAGACCACCCATTTGCCTCCGACTCCCTGGTTGAGTCATGGAGAGAGCAGATCAAGGGGTCCCAGTCCCTGTCACGTGGCCTGTTCCTCTTGTTGGCATCAGGGAGGGAGGGAGCCCTAGACAGGGCACAGCGGAAGCTCATTTTCCTGGTGACCTGGGACACTGGCTCATGATGGAGCCCAGGGCTGCTGCTCTGGCTAACTTCTGTGTCCTTTCCTGTGGCCTGTCCACAGGGGTTAGTGGGAGAATCCAGGGAGGCTTCCAGGAGGAGGAAGCACAGCATAGCAGGGCAGCGTGGCTGGAGTGAAGGAGTCAGGTGAGGGACATGGGAGGAGCAGAGAGCCAGAACTGTCCATGGCAGTGAGTGGTGGGGGTTACAGGTGACTCAGAGACCCCATGGCTGCCCCAGTGCAGGGCCAGTGAGCCCACGAAAACCCTCCTACGACCTGAGACTTGGCTCCTTGGGGGGCTTTAGGGGCAGATGGTCAGAGAGATGGAACATGGGTCTCAGCCCCTGGAGGGACAGGGATAGATATGGCCAGAACCTCTTAGGACTCTGCATCCAGGTGCTCGTCTCTGCAGAGATCATGAATCATTCACTCGTTCATTCATTTCACTCATGCGTTCCCCATAATTCCTTCCTCCTTCATCAGAACACTTGAGTGTGTGCCGCATGTTGGGCCCTGAGCTGGTTGCAGGTGTGGAGTGGGGAGTGAGCAGGAAAGTCCTTTCCTTCGTATCCAACGGGAGTGACACCAGCACCTCAGGAAACAAATAAGTGATTTCGAGTCCAGAGCAGGGAGGTGTGGATGGGCCACCTGACGGGATGGCCTGGGCGTTCCCAGCACTGACTCTGATTGTGACTTCAGGTAGTTCGATTCTAGGGTAGACACAGAATAATCCTCCATTTGCTTTCGCTCCCCAGACCAGAATCTCTCCCTCTGAGCTGGGGAAGCCTGAGAGAAAGGACCTAAATTAATGGCTGATCCAAATTAACTAGGTTCATAGACACCTCACAACCCCCTGGAGTGTGCAGGACATGAGGCTTTGGCTGCTGACCGACCTCGAGTGACCCTGATCTGCTGCTCATGGTCTGTGTGACCCTAGTTCAGTGACTGTATCTCTGTGCCTCAGTTTACCCTGAATAAAATCGAGTAAATGGTATATGAACTCTGGATTACTGTGTTGTCTGTGAATTAACCTAAAAACATCCCAAATACTTGACCTAAAGCTTAATATAGAGGAGCTGCCCCAATATCATTATTTGCCTCCATGAGAGAGGGCTCCCTGAGCTCATTCTGGTAAACGAGGGACTTTCAGAACCATTTCTCTCCTCCGTATCTCCCTGGGGACGCGGACCTTCCTCTGGAGTGTCCCAAGCCCCCCAGGGCAGTCGGCTGATGGCCCAGCAACTTTGTCCATCGGTGCTTGCCACACACAGTCTCAGGTGAAGGACTAGGCAACACCCCTGCTCAGACATGGCTCTTGGGGCTGAGCCCTGTCAGTCACGCACCTGGGACAGCTTTGCTCCCTGTTGGTCCTGCCCAGGATGCCAAACTCAACCTGGCACAGGTTCCCTGGGGGGCCCAGAGTCAGGAGCCCTGGGACAGGGGTCTGGGGAGGGGCTGCCCAGGCTGAGCTGCTCTGCGTGGATCCCAGGGGGCCCCTCAGGCCAGGCCACGACCAAGCCCTGCAGGGTCTTTCTCAGGGTCATGGTCACGGGAGGGGCCCAGGGGCTGGACTGAGACTGGTCTCCCTCCACTGAGCTGCTCCCATCAGACTGGTCCTTCTCCCTGTGGTGAATGTCTGCAGGGGCTGGAATCCGGGAAGGGAGCTCTGACCTTAGGAAGTGTGTCTCCACTGTGTGTGTCCTGCACTCAGTGCTCAACCCCCAGCCTGGGATGCAATGCAGGGGGCATCGAGGCAGAGTCCAGGGCTGCCGATCCTGTGTGTGTGAAGTACAATTCTCCACCCGAGACCCAGAGGACAGAGAGGAATCACTCACGGTATACATGGAGCTGTGCAGTTACTTCTTCATTCAGCAAATTTTTCTTTATGGCTAGTAGGGTGTAGTATCCTGTGTCCTCCAAGGTGACCTTCTGGATCAGCAGGGATCCATTGGGGTATATTGTCTCTCGACCGCTGTGTGCAGGCCCCGGGAAACTTTCTTGACTGTCTATTACATATGATGCAATTAGACGGTTTCTGTCCACACTTGCCCCTTTGAACCAGGCATAGCCTGTAATATTCACAGGCAGGTTGTGGACAAGGAGAAGCACATCTTTCCCTTCGGCAGCATTGGACGGCAATGATTCAAGAGTGAGTTGGGCAGTGGCGGGGGGGGGCGCCGGGGGGCGAAG